GCCGGGCTTGTAATGAGCCCGGCGGTCCTAGGAGGTATAATCGGCAATATCGGTATCTGAATTGGCTGATACCGATATTGTCGAAAATACCGAATATCGGCCGGTTATATCGGTAAAACCGATAATCGGTCGATCCCTAGTGGATGCAGTGTGTTTGTGTAGTGTGTGTTGTGGATGCAGTGTGTGTTTGTGTAGTGTGTGTTGTGGATGCAGTGTGTATTAGTGTAGTGTGTATATAATGAAAGCAGAGTGTTTGTGTAGTGTGTGGGTAGTGTGTGTAAAGTGAATGCAGTATATACTAAATGCAAAGTGTGTGTGTTTGTGTAGTGTGTGTTAATAATGAATGTAGTGTGTTTATATAATGCAGAGTGTGTGTGTTTGTATAGTGTGTATATAATGCAGTGTGTTTGTGTAGTGTGCATTATATAAACACACTATGCAAACACACACTGCATTATATACACACACTGCACACACACTGCATTATATACACGCACACTACACACACACTGCATTATATACACGCACATTACACACACACTGCATTATTTACACATACATTACACACACAATGCATTATATACACGCACACTACACACACACACTGCATTATATACACACACACTACACACACACTGCATTATATACACAGTGTGTTTGTGTAGTGTATGTGTATATTATGGAGTGTGTGTGAGGGGGCATTTTTTATTAAAAATTTTTTTTTAATATTTAATTATTATTTTTGTTGTCCCCCCTCCCTGCTTGTTGCCTGGACAGGGAGGGGGATATGACAGTCCCTGGTGATCCAGTGGTATTGGCTGACCTGGGGAGAGCCGGCATCAAGCGCTTACTCACCTCCCAGCAGCTCCTCCAGCTCCCCAGTGTAACGCTCGCGGCCAGCGTGTCACGCGGAGTGTTGCCATGGTAACCCATGGCAACACTCTGACGGCCGCGGGTCTCGCGAGAGTTACACTGGGGAGCTGCTGGGAGGTGAGTAAGCGCTTGCTCTCCGCCCCCCCTGGGCCGCCGGGCTTGCAATGAGCCCGGCGGTCCTAGGAGGTATTATCGGCAATATCGGTATCTGAATTGGCTGATACCGATATTGTCGAAAATACCGAATATTGGCCGATTATATCGGTAAAACCGATAATCGGTCGATCCCTAGTGGATGCAGTGTGTTTGTGTAGTGTGTGTTGTGGATGCAGTGTGTGTTTGTGTAGTGTGTGTGTGGATGCAGTGTATGTTTATGTAGTGTGTGTGTGGATGCAGTGTGTATTAGTGTAGTGTGTATATAATGAAAGCAGAGTGTTTGTGTAGTGTGTGGGTAGTGTGCGTAAAGTGA